TTTATGACATTCCCCTCTTCATCTCGCTCTATGATGCCCGCATCTGGACCCAAAATGTTTTTCAACGTTTCCACATCAACTTCCTCCTCATTATCCGGGTTGGTCTTTTCAACGCCTCCAGCCGGAGCATTCAGCATCGACATCAGCCCTAGTTTTTGATAGCTACAATGATTGAAAAACGACATCGTTGATGAGTTTATGAGCAGAGCCAAGAGAAATGCAAAGTTAATCGCATGCTTGCTTCTGCAATGTGCGTAGCAATAAAAGGTCATGTAGATAAAATTTACTTTTGTCGAAGCGTAGCCTTGGGATCCCAGTTTGCAGCAATCAAGTCATGTCCCTAATAGACGACAAAAATACTTTGTAATGTAGTAACATTCAGGTGAACGAAAGATTCGAGATAGTCACTGTCAATACGCTTGCTCTGTACCGTAATTCTGACTTTCTTGAAATGCTTGTTAGCAGTACGCCTCGTCACTTTGGTCGACGGATTTTTGATCTTTCTTCGTCGTCGAGGTCGAGCCATGTGTTGAGATAATGCAACTAAAAAAATTTGACTTTTCCAATCAAATCACAGGATCGTGTGTAACTATTACCCACTTGCGTTCGCGCGTTAAACGTGCAGGTATAACCGTCTTGGGCTGCTGTGTTATACAGATAGCTAACAAAATGGCGTATAACTATGGAAATATTAGCGAGAACAGCTTGAGTGAAACCGTTTTGAAAATCGTTTTATTTGTGTCAAACAGAGGTGAAATGGGGAGGATGTAATACAGAAGTCACGGACTATTGAGTAGTTTTAAAGCTAAAATATATATTATGTATTTTGGGTCTGAAAATTTACGGCTAACAAGCTATGAGTCACAATATGATATTAGTTTGTGTGATAACGTTGCAGTAGAAACGACATTTTACGTCCTATTACATCATTAATCATCAACCATACTTCTTTCACACATTTCGTATTTATATGTTTACAACGAACAATTGCAAAAAGTCTGGTTTTTTTTACTTATAAAAGCACAACAAATTATAGAAAAAATTTATTAATTATTGTATGATATATGACTTGTTATATCTTTAAACCACAATGACATCTGTTTGTTTTATACAGTCTAACAAGCAAATCAAGCCATAGAGTCTTAATAATATGATCATAACTAAGTGATTCCCTGCCATAATGCACAGCATTGTGTAATACAATCACTGGACCATCTTCGTCGAGCAGCAATAGTGCCTATAATATTTAAGTCCGTCTACAGTTCTCGTGTGGTCTCCTATCTACAGGTCAAACAAGTGAGATGGAAAAGAAAGAGAGTGATGGATCGATAGAAGCGTTTGAGGGAGTAGAGGTTTATTCAAATGTCGAATCACATGTGTGCATGTTTGTTTAATTGTTCGTGTTTATTATTATTATAGCGAATTTAGAGATTTTGTGTGTAATAAATGGCAGTAAAACCTGTTTACACCGATGACAAAATTCGACGAAAAGTCCAGCAAGCGGTTTAATACTTAACCTTTGGCTCAGTGGCAAACTAATACCTGTTTGATAGTTGTCGGCTCTGATGCTTTGGCAGAATATAACGGACTATTCTAAAACGACAATTTGCAAGAATTAAAAGGACTAAAAGTGTTCTGAAGACATGAATGGTTAAGTGAAATTCGCATTTCCTTGTATCATTGATGACGTACCGTCATATGTATTCGGCCACTTCATATTTAATTATATTACACACACTGTTATTTATGCTGTTCATTGACCATTATTTTAAGTTCTGTATGCTTATTGTTAGACGGCATAGTGATAGAATTAAATAGAATAAAATTGTTAGCGAGAAAAACGGTTTACGCTTACAAGAGTTTGTTATTTAAAATGTTTATCGTAAATTTATTCTAATACAAATACTGACTTATATAGAATTTTATCTATTCTACTTAACTGATAATTGCTATTCAATATCGATATCTGTTCTATTCATTTGGTTACACAAAAACATAAAACATTTGATTTTGAAGGACGAATTGTCTTCTGCTCCTCCCCAATAGTACATCATTCGAACAAAATAAACAAGAATACCAAGAGCGACAAGGCTGGCAGTACCAATTATCGCTCTGACCAAAATACTAAAGCTGTTTGTTAATCGCACCATATCCGAATTATTGTCACTAGAGTGTTTAGCGTTACTCTCACTAGTAGGCGAAGCTGATGTTGTCGTTGGATGTGGTAATAGGGTAGGAGAAAGTATACTGTATACATACATTGGAAATAGACAATTTAACAAATTTAAACATTAGCTTTAGTTTTATCCCAATAATTAGGTTATTTACATCTAAAACAAGAAATACCTATAAATCGTTGTTGTCGCCAGACAAGTCGTTGTTGACCCCGTTGATCGAAAAGTTTGCCTTATAAATTACCAGTATTGTAAGGTTTGCATACATACATTGTTGTTTCTTTTTTATTTACTGATGATTAAATACAGGAAAACAAATGTACCTTTCGCCAGAATAATTGATTGGAACGGAATAGGTCCCAGTTGCAATAAAGAGACTGAAAACAACAGCGGCTGCGAAGTATTTGTTTATTACTATCATTATGAGTGAGATGGTGTTCTGTGTTTATTAAAATATAAAAAACGTGGAAGTGTTATGTGGAGATTTATTAACACAGTTTCCGAGCAAAAGTGCTTTTCGGTTCTTAAATACAACAGATGTCATATATGTTGATTTCAATATTAACGGGAAAAGAACGCACGTTTATATATCTGTTTATCCCTGATTTTTTAGAGATTACACGACAGATTTAGTGTAACGGAAAAGTGTGGTGGCTAAAACTGTGCGGATAAATATCCACATTGCCTTACATCATTTTTTTAGTAATAAACAATGGGTACATACATAGACCGTTGGTGGTTACACATGTTGTACAAGCACCCGATTGGGAAGAACTTAATTCCGCCAGTTATACATTTAATTCCTAGCAAGAATAAGCATAGTGCTAGCTCAAAACACTTGTAATATTGACAGTAAATATGCTTTTTATTGTTCTAAGAATGAAGATTTTGCACGCTCTAGTAGATTCTCCACCATTGATGCATCCTCAGTTATGCTGTCTATATCACTCAAATCATCATCAGCTACGTTTTCATTGTTTCCTTCAATTACTTCGTCTTCAATATATTCTTTTGCCAAGCTTGACAACGTTGCGTTTACATTTTTTGTAACCTCACCTTGAAGATAACCTAAGCATATTAAACTTTTAAATTGACATCTTTGCAGACAATGACTGTGGTAACCGTGTCCGCATGCCAAAATACTACCATCGGTTAAAATGTTAGTAAAATCACAATCTGTATAATCACATAAAATTGCAGTATTAGGTTTTTTTAAATAACAAAACCTCGCGGAAGGTGACGATCGGTTATGTTATAACCTAATAAAGGCAACTCATATGTGTTAATACCATCAGCCGATTTCACCATCAGCCGTGACAATGATTAAGCGCTTGATATATTTTCGTGAATGCGTCTAAAAGCCAAATAGCACATTTTTGGGAAAGTATGCGCAATTGTTTAGGTTTATATGGGTATTTAACGGAATTTACAAAATGTTCTCTAAAGCGTTTTCCTGTCGTTGAAAAATGAGTCGAGCTTCCTTCTGCAACTGTTCAGCCGTCGGAAATTTGGCTGTGCGCCGGCTAATAAGACTATGGACAGTTTCTACAGGACAATCACTTAAGGAGGCAAGATTGTTAGTAATCATATCCATCATTGGATGACTAGTCTCCATCCAATAAAAAACATCGGAGAAAAATATTAATGAAGCACGCTTATAATTTCTCCTATCAAATCGAAGGAAAAGATCGCTCCAGCAGCGCATACAAGCTTCTTCATAAGCCGACCAGTCACCTCGATGATGCACTGCATAAACATCAAGAACTAAGGGTATTAAATTACTCAATAGATCAGTCATATATAAGAATTCGATATTTTTGCACATATAGTATCAACAATATCAGACCACGCCATACGCACAATATGAAGAATTAAATCAATTCTCCATGGTTGTGGTTTCTTACCAAGAATTTTACGCATTCCGAATATTCCTTTATAAATGTCATCAAACAAGATGAGTTTTTCAAAAAAACGAGTTCACGACCGTTTAAGGATACATGGAGCGTCCCCATAATTGGTAAAAATGAGGCAATATATTGTGGAATGTGACGAGAAGCCGTTGTGCAATAGCCTTGCGAATATAAAGCTGACCAGGCCAATCTGCAACAATAGGAATCACATATTCGGCAAGATATGTTCGCATTAGTCGTTGATTGTACAATATTCGAAGAGCGTTGACATATCCATCGATGCCTTTCAAGGTACTTTCTGTGAAATCAAAAAGAATAGTATCCTTTATATTTTGATCTTCTTTTTTCTCCATTATCCTAACGTTATAACAATGTATTGTTAGAGCATTAATTAATTCATCGTCTGTACTATCCTCTCTTACATAATCCCGCATTCGATCACGGTACGAAATACCAAGATTTTGAATAAACCGTCTGTCAAAATGCTTCAAAACCAATTCGTCATCAATGATCTTTGGATTGATTGCACCGTCCCGAGGTATTGCTTGAGCATGGATTTGCTATGATTGTTGCCATATGTGTGGCCCAAGACGGATTTGTAGTATCAGCCTGCTTTTGAACATAACTATTATGATAGTCATCAATATTTAACACCAAAGCCTTATCCAAATGTAATATAAAACACTTCTCTACATATTCTCCATGAACATCTGACATTTTTCTTTTTCCGATCTACCGCTCTTGATGTCATAGTTGCTCCAAGATTTGCCATAGTGTTTATGCCTTCATTACTTGTGCCTGCCGAGTCTAAATAGTATGCCAGGTAAAACTTAAAGCTGTTAATTTTTGTATTATTTAATGAAGCAAGGAGATAACATATTAAAAACCATCAATCGTTTCATCCGATCCATTGTTTGCTCATTACGTGCTGATGGACGAGCCGCCGAATAAAGTTGATCAAAGAACACCTTCAAACTGGGTTTCTTTGTTTACAGCAAGTTTCGTAGTTCTTCAAAGTCATATATCGGACGTTCTTTCTCCTTACATTCCCTTTCATAGAGATGTCTACTCATTGCCTCAATAGTTTTAGTGAGCTCAATTTTTGTGCTTACCTCTTTCACATCTGTGACTTTTACTCGTTTACCCCTCTTCTTAAGTGATTCTCTATCAAATTCATGTAGCATGTATTGCATAAAACTATACCTTCATTCCATGTTACCTTAACCAACCCTTGACTTTCAGCTTCTCTCCATTTCTCTCCTTTTACTGAACAGAATCGGCTCGTCTCCGTAGTTTGCATTCTGTGCACACTGTTTCTCTGACATATTAACTAGTCTATATAGTGTGGATTCAAGTGGATTCAAGAAATATTTGTACTGTATTTGGCACTATTATAAAATGTATAAAAACCGATTTTCCTTATGGGTACGGTCTCTCTTGCA